GTGGTTGCCTTAATTATTTTTCTAGACGAGGTTACGAGAGAAGTAAAAGCAGAAGGACGGACCGCGAAGGTGGGTGCGAAGGTGTTGGTGCGACGTGTAGTGGTTATTGTTCTGGTTCTTGTACTGGTTCTTGGGGTCGTTAGAGGAGGTCGACGACCGGTTCGACAGGCCGGTCGCGTCACCAGGCCATCGCATTCCGCAGCAGAAATCCGCATCTGTAACACCCAACAACCCTTGCCCACGTCTCATCCTTTTTCGTGTTACTACCGATCAATTGGAAACTGTTCGATCCCACGCTCGTCATCTATCTTTCTATTCTTCCTTCAATTTTCTCCGCGACAAAACTTATGTTATTTACAGTACAACATTGTTCGTACCAATGATAAGAATAGAAATTACCAGGGTATCTCGATATTTAGATATTCGAATTGCTTATCTATCGTTGCGCACGTTGGAACAATTTTTCCACCCGTCCATTGCGAACCTCGGCGCAACAGCTTTATCTCACGAGCGACTCGTTATTCGATCGAACAGCGACGTGTGTATTCGAATGACAACAGGGGGGATATACAGTGGAAGTTGTAAATTTCGTTAGAGTCTCGGTGTGTGGATTTCTGTGATACTCAACAACTCTTGCCCACGTCTCATCTTGTATTCCGCGAGATAATTCGCGAACCAACATCTACCAAATCAAACGCTCCTCTCTTGATCGAATCGATGGAAAGACAACGCACACCACCCGTACAAACAAACACGCGTTAGGTTTGTCCGAGTAAACGACAACGGCGTGCCGATAGATTTCCAATTAACGCACACACCACCAGTTGCCTCGCGACCCATTTAGGGTGGACAAAAAAAAATATAGATCGTCGCGTGCCGAGTATACGCGAACGTACAACAAAAAATTGCTCTGCTCGAAGAAGAAAATAGACAAATCAAGGTTACTCCGATAAAAAAAGTGAGGAAGCTGCGCGCATTGCCGCACTTACATATACTCGCCCTGATGAACTCTGAATAATGCAGTTTCCATGCAGTTCCAGTTCGTTTCGTTAGTCACGCCATACTCTCTCCACCCTCTCCGCTCTCCGACTTTCCCCGATCCCTCCGCCGTCTTGTTCTTTTTTTGTTGTTGCGGCCTGAAATTTCTCTCGACTCTTCTAATCTCGCCGGGCGACACGCCGACGTGCTACATACGTGTGTGCTTAACGGGGGAGAACAAGCAATCGACGTAGCGTCTCCTTTGTTGTTTCAATTGAGAAACGTTTCGCAACGTTAGGTTACCGGGAGAGGAAAAAAAGCAGAGAGAAGTCCTCGACGAGGCTCGTCACCATCCTCTTTTCATCTAGCGCTCGCGAAACCGTGCTTTCTTTACATTCGCCGCCGGCTCAACAAATGATGCCGGTACTCGAGGGCGTCGCGGCAACTCTCTCCCCTTTCCTCCGATACAAAGAGGAAAGAAACCGTTCTTTTGTACGGAGCGACTTTCTTTGAAAAAGAAAAAAAAAGAAGAAAAGAACAGAGCAAGAAAAACCGCGCCTACCAGAGTAGGATCAGACAGATCTGATAGGCACTTTGCCCAACCGCGCTGCAAATCGTTTCGCACCTACAACCGGAGGTTATCCGGATTTCGATCGGTTACCGATTTCCTCCAGTTACACTCTTCTTTGCTCCGAGAAATCACAACCAGACGTGTCGCACGTGTTTCATTTTCCAAACCTCCAACGATATTATTTTAAACCGATTGCTACCGTTAATCACGAGACTTGGCACCAAGTTCTTCCATCTTGGCATGTCGAAGCTCCGTTGGATACTCGATTAACGCACTGTCAGACAAATCGTGTCGTACTACGATCGGACACAGGGCCAACGAATATTTGCATCGCGAAATTTCCTTATCGTACGGTATCCTTTACGTAAAAGTGAATCGCCGAGATGGACGAGCGTTTCGAGAACGCGGTAATTTCAAACTCTTTAACGGGTGTAATAATCCTCGAAGCGTTTCATTCGCCGCGTACCACCGATACATCCTTGCGTTATTGCCACTCCGTTCTTCATTCTTCGCAGAATCTAAGCGGCAACCTTAATCCGATCGGAGAATGCCGAAGAAGAGGGTGAAGAGCGCTCTTGGACTGGAAACCTGTTGTATCGTACTTCGAACGAGTCCTTTCTTATGTGCAATAGCTGCAAACTATGTATTTACTTAGGCTGCTCTCAATTTTACTTTCGATGCTTGGACGAATTTTAATAGTAAGCTTCCCCCCGCAAAGCTCGTTCAAGCTGAAGATACTATTTCCAGAGCGCGAGCGGCCATGTTTGGGAGAACCATCTGACTTTTCTTACTTCCTGCGACGCAACGTCGTCGCGCCTCGCGTTAAAAAAGATCCAATTTTTCAACCAGCCACGATTATTAATAACCGGTACCTACTCCTGAGACGAATGAAACAGAAGAGGAACTCGACGATAATCGCGAATTTTCCCGCTCAGCGACATTCGACATTTATTCCTCGACCATTCACCCAGATATTCAGCCGAGTATACCGAGCAACAAGTCAAACATTCGTTTCGATCGTTTCTCTTTCTCTGCGTTTTACTCGACCTGAACGATGCCTGAATATTATACGGAAATTCAAAAGTCGCGAGATTCCACTGCTGGTTTCCACGGAGAAGGAAAATTCTGGCTGCTTTTATTAAAAGAAAAATGCATTTATTACGGCCGTTTCTCGTTCTCGTTCTCGCAGCAGCCTCGGAGAAAGAGCATTATAGTTGCATGAAATAAACGCGGGGGAACTGGTTCCCGGCGCCAACATATACGCGAGTATATCAGCCCGTCGTCTATTAGATCGATGATTAATTGCCGAGAGCCAAGTAAATTTACATTCGAATAAATCTGGGCCATGTAGTAGCATCGATTCGTATCGCGAATTTATATAAAGCGTGACGCAAACATTTTCGCGACGTCACCAACCACTAGGCATTCAAACTGGCTTCTTTTTTTTCATTTTCCTCCCGGAATGCTTTTAATTTACGCGCCGGATTATTCCGCGGGCAGAGAGATAATTAGAAAGCTCGTTAGTCAAAGATCCGAGTCGCTCGCGACACGGTCCGACGAGTGATTTAGCCTGGAATTCGATCGATCGATCGACGGAAAAGGGAGAGAAAGAAAGGGAAAAAAGAAAAAAAGAAAAAAAGAAACGTTTACGTTGAAAAGTGGATACGCGGTACAAAGACAAGCTCTCGAAAGGGATAATGAAATTTCAGAAGTAGGTATATTATACATATGAT